GATTGTGCACACCTGAATCACATCCCAGTTAACGACCCACGTACCCTTTATAAGCCACACTCAAACACTCAGTCAGTGAGAAGTCTTGTTCAGCCCCGGCCAGCATTACTGAGCGTTATATCCTGCCTGATCTCCTGTGAATTACTCCAGCCCGTCTCTGACTCTGCTTTGTCTTCTGTCTGCCCACGACCCAAGCCTGATACACGGACTCTGATACTCGCTGCCTGCCCTCGACCCAAGCCTGTTATACGGACTCTGATACTTGCTGCCTGCCCTCGACCCAAGCCTGATACACGGACTCTGATTCACGCCGCCTGCCTTTGACCCATGCCTGGTAAATCACTCTGTGTCTGTCTGCCGCCAGCCTTGAGACCATTACTACTACTGTTGATGTGTGTTTGCACCTTTGTGCATATTGAGTGTTTGAGTAAGAGTGTGATTAATAAATACTGCATAATGGATCCCTCCGTGTCAGTCTCCTCGTTACAATAGGATATAATATGAGTATATATAGGATATAAATATAAAGGATTAAAATATTACAAAACATATTATTTTCTAGCCTACATAAATATAAAAAAACTGCCTTCATCTCGGGGGATTTTTCAGTTCATTCATAACTATTTGCTTTTGTATAATGTTATTATTATTATTAGAAGTATTATTTATTATATGCATATTTATATTTGTTTTATTAAAAACAAGCTTAGATTTGTCCACCTGTCAGGTTTTAGACCATATGGGGCACAGCATGTGTATTAGGATATTACTCAGTTTTTTTAACACACACTTTGTTATTATTGTTCATTTATTCGTTTGCTAGAAATTAGAACTGAATTTAGAAACAGTTTTGAAACAAATCTTTGCGCGTAACAAACAAAATTAATTATTTATAGGCTAATTGGATGTCTGTGCGTACAAGTTTTCCATATCCACAAGAGCGAAAGTGAAAGTTAAAAATTTATCTCTCATGCTCTAGATGCTCTTTTTTAACTGTTTCCTTGCTAGTGAAATGCTCAGTTTTTCCACTTACACTTACTTTACGTCATGTAAATAGCAAATGCACCATGGCGCAACGCAACTAAAGGGAATGGGAGATGAGACTCTGATTGGTTTATTCTCAAAACACACCTATAACTCATTAAGAAAATAAGCTCAACCCTTTTAGACCATGCGCCATGGCGCAAAGCGGATTTTTCCGTCCTTAAATTAGCAAATATGGATTCTGACACGCCCTGAATGCGTTTGCGCCCTGCACTCTGGACTTGGCGCATGGACCGTCAAAACAGAACCCTTTGAATGAGTTAAATAAACATGTGTTAGGGATACGACCAAAAAAGTCTGCCAGTTTACAAAATACAACATACTTTGTCGAAATTCTGTGAATTAAACTGCACAAACCAAAATAAATGATGCTAATCAACAGGATGAGAGATGCTCTCTATACAGTCCCTGATAAAAGTCTTGTCGCTTGAGTACAAATTGACCTGAAGTGTCACTGAAATATATTTCTAATTAAGATTTTTTTACGAGAAATGGCTAGTTATTTTCCCAACATCTTTTGAAATAATGTTTCCGTGAAAAATGAAACTGTCAAAAAGTATTTTAATAGTCCCAGCTTGGTAAAGCCCATTGAGTCAATTTTTGCAAAGACATGAGTGTTGTCGCCTTGTCATATGAGCTTCACCTGTGACTAATAATGGACCAATTAGGTCTACGGTGTGTATAAAAAGAACCACAGTACATTAGACCTTCACATCAGCTGCAACTAGACCTATGCAAACATGCCTAAGATTCACCCTGAGACTAAAGTGTTCAACCCAAGCTCATTCTGAAAACGTAGTCCCGCGGACGTTTCTGGACACAGCGGAATACGTCCCGGGGGGTTCGTACGGCCGCGTTTATTTTTTTTCAAGCGAACGCTGCGGGGCGGTGTGACGCTGTTCCCTTTCGCGCTTGCCTTACCTCCTTGTGGAGGGCTTCCCCGCTGCAACCCGTTTGTCCACTCAGCTCAGCGTGTACGTCGACAGGCTCGAGATGCGGAAAGGGGTCGACCCCGGCAACCGGTTTCGAGTCCAGGGAAGAGCAGTTCCAGCAATCAGGTAAGACAAAAACAGAATCCCAAAAATTAAGTGAACGAGTTTTGTGACAGAGTGAGAATGCGGCGAAATCCGAAAACGCAGTGGAATAAAAAAAATCAGGGCTTTTATTTTTTTGGATGGCTTTTGTGAACTGTTGCTCGGGTTTAGGGAAGCGAGCGGGCGGGCAGGTCGATCTGTAAAATTGGTTGGGTTCAGGGAAGGTGGAGGGCGAGTCGGCCGATCGCGCAGTCAATCATCCGGTCAGTCGGACAGCGGCCTCCGGCGGGTTCGTGCCCGCGAGAGGCATCTGAGGTGCGAAAAAGTGCGCAACAGCGGCCTCTTGCGGATTTGCGAAAACAAAAACTGCAGCCGTACGTACCCGCCAGGACGTATTCCGCGGTCTCCAGAAACGTCCACGGGACTACGTTTCCACAATGAGCCTGGGTTGAAAGTGTTAGTTATCAAGAGGCTGAAGACCAAATCCACTGCTGATGTAGCAGACACCTTCAAAGTGTTTCAGCATCAAGTACAAAGGATAAAAAAACGATTTGAAGAGACTGGAGACTTTTTTGACAAGCTCAGATCAGGCAGACCCCACAAGACAAGAGAGGACTGTTTGTTGGCTCGAAAATCCAAGGCCAGCTCATTCTCCACTGCCGTAGAGCTCCACGAGACCTGGTAAACTGAAGTCCCTGTGTCAACCTAAACAGTTTGTCGGATTCTATCTCGAAATGGCCTCCATAGCCGAATCTGTGCCCAGAAGCCAGCACTAAACAAAAGACAATTGAAAAACCGCAGTCTGCTTAATGGATGGACACTGGAAAAGTGGCAGGTGGATTTTCCAGATGAATCTTTATCTGAATTACACCACAATAGCCACAAATATTGCAGGAGACCTACTGGAGCCCGCATGGATCCGAGATTCACCCAGAAAACAGTGAAGTTTGGTGGAAAAATCATGGTTTACATCATGGGTTACATCCAGTATGAGGGTGTGCGATAGATCTGCAGAGTGGATGGCAACATCAATAGTCTAAAACACCAAGAAATCGTAGCTACCTAGCATGGATGCAGTTCTTCAAGCTCATGGAAGACATACAAGATATTAAAGTTGGATCTCTCAGCACCACTACTTAATTTGCTGACATATTTTTGTATTTGCAGTAAATTTGTTCAATTTCTGTATAGGCGACAGAACTTTTGTCTTGCCAAAATTGGACTTTTCTCTCTTTATTAAATGCTAAATCTTTTTTCAGTGAAACAAATTCATTTCAGTGCATTGAACATCATTTGGGAGGATTTTAGCTATTCATATGAGCCATTTTAACACCAGTTGATTAATTAAAAGTCAGGTTGATAGCAGGTGTCCCTACAAAATAGATAAGCAACAAGACTTTTGTCAGGGACAAACACGAATGACTTTATTTTATTTGACATGTTTGCATTTATGGGGGAAAAGCGTGGTTATGGATGTTACACCTCTCTGCTATGGATGTGACAGATGTGAAATTGACACTTGTGTGACTTTGGTAAATCAAATATAATTGTTTGAAAACGTTGGCAGAGACATTTCTGAGTATTTTAAAGTACTGCAGTGTTTCCTCTAGGATTTTTTCCAGCTGTGGTGGCAGGCCTTTTACACAGATCTTTCAACTACCTATTGTGTTATTTCAGTAGCCCCTTTCACACAGTGATATCAGTAAATTTTCAGAAAATTTCTGGAACGACTTTACCGGTAAATTTTAAAAAGCGCTGTTCACACAGGCACGGACGTTACGGAATTTTTCCGGAAAAGACCATTTACACATCCATTCCAAAATATCTAAATTCTGACATCATTAACCAGAAATAACCTCTAAACGGCTGTGCTTGGATTTGTAAACATTTGACTACATTACAAACTATTTGGATGGACAAGTACTGTGAACAACTTCAATGAAAACAAATGAGGAACACTTTCACGTGTCGAGATGTACGTAATATGTGTGTGTGCTGGCGCTCACCGGCTGCTTCACGTGCACAGACTGCACATGCCTCAGACATTAAAGGTAAACAAACAACGGCTTATAAGCATTTTATCGATAATTTTTTACACAGTGGGCATTAAGAAGGAACATACAAATGTTATCTGACTAACATCTTGCAGCAAAATGTGTCCGGAAAAATATTCAAAGGCTTTTATTTTCATGAACGGCGCAGATGTGAATGAGTCTGAGTGTTCTGAATGGCTAAAGTAGACGTCTCACGTCAGCACGTTCTAGATGTGACATGCTCTTTCCGGCAATTTTACTTCTATGTTCACACAGCGAAGCATTCCGGCAAATTACCAGTAATGTTACAACTTCTCTTTCCGGAAAATGGCCGGAACGAATTTACCGGTATTTTCAAACAGGGCCTGTTCAAACATACAGACCTTTCCGGAAAATTGCCGGTAATGCAAATCTCTTTGCTTGAGCGCCAATGTTCTCTGTTTATGCACAAAAAACTTCTTGCACTTCTTGATGCGTCTTGATGTAAAGTAAAACGGCTATAAACTCCAGCAAGATAAAGTCATTGTATGCAGAGCCATAGACTTTTGTTTATAAATTTATATTTATTTATTATCTATCATCTTAAAGGGTTAAACAAATAACGCACAGCACTACTACGATTACAGAAAAGTGCGCACTGTTATTATTCACTAACCTTTCAATACGTTTTGGTGCGATTTATAACCCACTATTAAAAAAAAGAAGGACTGAATGCTTTGAATGAGAAGCTGTAATGTAGCCGTGGTGGGAATGAATTTTGGTGTGGCGCCGCACTATGGAAGAATGAATGTAGATGAAACAATGTACTGTGAAATAGTTTCTAGTTATTTTTTTCATAGCAAGGGTGACATTTGCTCTTATTGTACACAACGTAAACAGATTTTCCTACCTGTGACTGTAGCAAACAGCAATGATGAGCCCCAACTGTGGAGAAAAAACAAATTGGAAAGGACGTTAAAGAGCCCCTATTATGGGTTTTTGAAAATTAACACAGTAACACAGCACTAAGTGAATGAAAACATCCAGCTGAGGTTTAAATCTGAAAGTGCAGCATGTTTAAAACTATTGATTCTTTAACAAAATAGTCGACTCAAGAAGATGGTGCTCTAGTTTGGTCACTAATGGAAAGTGGATGTGACCTAGTGGTCATGTTTAGTACTGCGGCCAAACAAAATCTGACTGAAAGCTTATCTTTTGAGATATCAACTTCAAATTTGGAATATAATTTGTTTAGATATTAAGGCTAAAACTGATTTTGTAAGATACATATTTTATGCATTCTAATATATTTCTTATTATTTTATGTAAACATAAAGACTTTTGTTTTGTTAAACTTTTTTAACTTTTTTAATTTCAGCTACAATCTGATATCTGCCTTCTTTAAAATGTGAGTAAGCTTAAATCTGTGCACCTAAGCATTAAAGGAGCAGTAGGTGATCTTCCACAATCAGGGCCAGAGTGGGACTCCTTTTCAGCCCTGGAGTTTCAAGCCTCGGACCGGCCCACCTCAGTTCACGAGTGACTATATTAAAATAAGGTCATTTCCAAATCAGTTTCTAATGACACTATCACGTCTTTTTTTGAGAAAACAGCTGCTTTAGAACTTCAAATGTGCAACAACCCTAACAGTATTATATGTTTTAACAATAAATATGAAAAAAATTAATTACTTTGAGGAGGATCGAACCCGGGTCAGCGACGTCGTAACCTAACGTGCTAACCACTGGACCATAATCTATACATAGAATTGTGACACATCTGGCTCATTAACCTGCAGACTGCATCTTGCTCACGAAGCAGCGAGAAAATAGATAAAAAGAGCAGAGCTGCGGTAAAATAATAAATAAAAAGGCTGTGGTCAAGTAAATAAATAAATAAATTTTAAAAATGTGACTGCTGAGAGCAACAGATTCTGAAGCTAGGAAAACCGGCCCTCGCGGCCAAAAAAAAGACCGACCCACCGGGAATTCTCCCGGTCCTCCCGATTAGCCAATCCAGGCCTGTCCACAATGCTAACAGCTTAGCATAAATCTCTGAATCACAGTCCCTCCCCTGCCGTCTAGAGCCACGCCTCCTTAAACACGAGCACACCAAAATAATCCTCTCTCATGTGTTAAAAGCGACTAGTGCTTGCCCAGCAGCATGCAAGCCAAACTGACATGCTATTTCAGAGTGAATATTTAGAGTTGCATGGTAAACAATATAGGGAGAGACTAAGCGGAATATCGCTATTTACTTGTGTTTTGTTGTTAAACTAATTAAAATCTACAATACCGATGCTGTAAAAGGTCCCTTATGAAACTGAAAATAGTCTTATCAATCTTTAATCAGAAGATTTTAGTAGCTGAACAACACTTCTGTGAAGATTTAACCCATTTGTAACAACAACATCTAACGTTACATCAGCTTTGCGTGAAGCTAAAACTGTTTTAAAACAGAACATTACCTGTCTAAGAGAAATCTTTCAGACATTGTGTCATCCTGTCTCCATCGTGCAAAGGTAACTCCAATATTGATTCAGGTTTTTAAAAAGTTTTGATTCAGCAGGTTTTTACTGATCGCGCTCTCTCTCTCCCTCTCTCGTAAATGCGCAGCACAAACGATGGTCGGTGGAGCTGCGTACAAACGGCTGCGCAGTTGTTCAAATCTGCATTTGCTGACAGACAGTTTGGCCTACTTATTGGAATTATGAGAGATGTCGGTCCAATTCTATTTATTGGATGAACATTTTTTAGTTTTACGCCTTACCCAAAATATAAAAATACATATAAACACATTTAGATCATTTACTGTAATCATTACTATTAGAATGTGAAGAGACTTTCAACCAGCACAACAACAAATGCTTTTGAAGACCATCACTGACTTCACCTTTAAAGACTGGCATTTATTTTCATATCGATGTTTTAAAAGTGAGGGTGACATTTAAAGTATACAAGCACACTTATATTAATTTTCATACACACAGCATATTTGTGTAGGATGATGTACAGTAGACAATGTAGCAAATCTCCGCTGCCTGATCGCTTGAATTGCAAAATGCAATTTTCAGTATATTATCTGACAGCCATTAGGATATTATAATATTATATAAAGGTCAGCGTTATGATTTTCTCCAGCGCTGCTTTGTGAAAAACACCATACAAATACATTTGAAAACACTTAAAGGAAGATGAGTGTGGTCTGACCGCAGATCCACCCACTTTCACTGGATGGAAAAAGCTTCACTTTTATGTTTTACGCATGATAGAATGTTCGAACAATATATGAGAGAGTAATCTTGTATTTTGAATAGATAATTAATGACCTAATTAAGTCTGAACTCACATCTGATCTATAAGAATGATAGTATGCTTTTGTTAAATAACACAAATATTAATTATAATTGAAACTAAAATAAAAAACACAAATATTTGATGAACAACGCAATAATAAGTATATAATATGCAATATAAACTGAAGTGCTAAAATGACTAAAACTGAAATTAAAATGTAAATAAAATAGAAATGTTAAAACAAATCTTAATAAAACGACATATAATAAAACACAAATACTAGATGTAAAACATATTAATATATAATATAAGCTAAAGTGCTAAACTTACTAAAACATTTACTTAAAATCGAAATATTAAAACAAAATGAATGAAAATAACAAAAGAAAATACAAATTTGCTAAATAAATAATTATTAAAAATTATATTGAAATTGTAATTGTAAAATTAAGCTAAAATAAGAAACACAAATACTAAATGAACAACGTGATGAAATGTGCATAATATTAACTGAAGTGCTAAAATTTCTAAATCTGAAATTAAAATTTGAGTAAAATAGAAATATTAAAACAAAAACTTCATAAAATGGCATAATAAAACATAATAATACCAGAATTACTTATTAACAAACTTAATATTAGCATATAATATATAACATTTATTAAACTTAATACATAATACAAGCTGATGTCCTAAAAAAATGACTTCATTAAAAACCCATATTTGCATTCATTTTGTTTTAATATTTCAATTTAAGTAAATATTGGCAGCTAGTTCTCTGCAACTCCCACGTGGTCGCCCACTGAAGCTAAGCAGGGCTGCGCCCGGTCAATACCTGAATGGGAGACCACATGGGAAAGCTAGGTTGCTGCCGGAAGTGGTGTTAGTGAGGCCAGCAGGGGGCGCCCAACCTGCGGTCTGTGAGGGTCCTAATGCCCCAGTATAGTGACGAGGACGCTATACTGCTCAGTGAGCGCCTTCTTTCGGATGAGGCGTCAAACCAAGGTTCTGACTCTCTGTGGTCATTAAAAATCCCAGGATGTTCTTTGTAAAAGAGTAGGGGTTTAACCCCGGCATCCTGGCTAAATCTGTCCACTGGCCTCTGTCCATCATGGCCTCCTAAACCTCTCCATATCATAATTGGCTTTATCACTCTGTCTCCTCTCCACCAATCAGCTGGTGTGTGGTGTGCGGTCTGGCGCAAAGTGGCTGCCGTCACGTCATCCAGGTGGATGCTGCACACTGGTGGTGGATGAGGAGATTCCCCCCATTGTGTAAAGCGCTTTGAGTGCCCAGAAAAGCGTTATATAAATGTAAGAAATTATTATTATTATTTTTATTTAATTATTATCATTATTATTATTTTAGTAAATTTAGCACTTTAGCTCATATTAAATATAAGCTAAATTGCTAAAGTTACTAAAACATTTACTTAGGGTGCTTTCACACCTACACTTTTGTTTCGGAACGTATCTCGTTTGCCCAGTTAGCGCGGTTCGATTGGCATATGTGAACAGGGCAATTGCGCTCTGTTCCGCGCCAAAGTAATCGCTCCGAGATCGCTTGAATGAGGTGGTCTCGGCTCGATTGAAACGAACCCTGGAGTGGTTCGATTGCAATGAGAAAGCGATCCGATCCGAGCGCGGTTATATCACAGTGTTTTATGGATATGTAATAGGCTTACGGCTATATGAAGAGAGAATTATGAGTAGAGCGGGAAGTTTCGCGAGTCTCCGGATGCCCGCGTGATGATCTCCCGGTAATCTCACGTCTCTCTCCCAGTCCTCAAATAGGCATCGTCGCGCACCCTTCTCACCCCTCCCCACCGTGTCTCTCCTCAGACACGTCACGCGCACCCTGTCAATCACCACCAAACCACCACCTCTCCTGACAGCTTAGCGGGACGCTGCAAAATAAACCCTGACACTCTGACCAATGTAAGGAGAGTTTACTTGCACGTGACTTGTTTTAGCTCTTTTGGTCCGATTAGAAACTTTGCAGTGTGAAAGCGAACCGCTCCAAGAGCAAAGAACAACAATGTAACAATTGTAATCTCTGTTTCTGAACAACTGAATCAATTCACAGGTGTGAAAGCACCCTTAAATTGAAATATTGAAACAAAATGAATGTAGATAAGAAAATACAAAGTTGCTTTTATTAAAACCTATATTGAAATTGTAATTGTAAACTAAATAAACACAAACACTAGATGAACAACAAGATGGTATGTACATAATATTAACTGAAGTGCTAAATTTTCTAAATCGTATATTAAAATTTTAGTAAAATAGAAATATTAAAACAAAAACTTCATAAAATGGCATAATAAAACATAATAATACCAGATGTAAAACGTAATATTAGCATATAGTATATAAAGCTCAATATATAATACAAGCTCATGTCCTAAAAATGACTTCATTAAAAACACAAATACTAGATAAACAACAAAGTAAATCACAAAAAATAAAAATATTAAAACTAAAATGAATATAAATAACAAAATTGCTAAATACATAATTATTTAAAAACGTACTGTATTTATATTAAAATTCAACTGAAAAATAAAAGCTAATTCAGATGAGCGCTTTAATAGTATAATAATCATATGTCTCCCTCTTGTGGTACAGCAGAATCTTCACACCGAGTTACACAGAAGTGATTGTGTTTTCATATGAATTTTCCTGGTGACTGTATTTTGAGTGCAGCTGTGCTAACTGTATGTTTGTATACTGTACCTTCATAGCAGCCATGGCTTGTACGGTGAGGCCGAGACGGGTTGGTGTCAGAGCCGCCAGCATTGCATTAAATCGATTACCTCTAAGAGCAGGAGACGAGTACAAACCATCTGCTGACACTGAGCCAAACCTGACAATAACACACAAAACACAAATACAATAATCAGATGCACACATACAGTTGAGGTCAAAATTATTAGTTGAATTTTATGTGATTTTTTAATTTTTATATTTCCATTTTCAAATGTTTCCCAAACGATGTTTAACAGAGCAAGGAATTTTTCACAGTATTTCCTATAATATATTTTCTTCTTATTTGTTTTATTTCTGCTAGAATTAAAGCAGTTTGTAATTTAAAAAAAAAAATTTAAGGTCAATATTATCAGCCCCCTTAAGCAATATTTGTTTTTGTCTACAGAACAAACCACTGTTATACAATGACTTGCCTAATTACCCTAACTTGCCCAACTAACTTAGTTACATGTTTAAATGTCACTTCAAGCTGAATACTAGTATCCTGAAAAATATCTAGTGAAGTATCATTTACTGTCATCATGGCGAAGATTAAATAAATCAGCTATTAGAAATGAGTTATTAAAACTATTATGATTAGAAATGTGTTGAAACAATCTTCTCTCTGTTAAAATGAAATTGGGGTAAGAAATATACAGGCGGGCTAATAACTATATAACTTCAACTATATAATCTTTGTGTTTTAATAATGACAAATACCAAGGCAGTCTCTTGATGATAAGCTTTTAAATACATATTAATAAAATAATAAATAAACCTTAAAATAAGCATTCAAATAAGAATTGGAAAAAAAATATGTATGTCTATATTTACACTACCGGTCAAGTGTTTGGGTTAGTTAGGAATTTTAAATGTTTTAAAATAAGCTTCTCCTGCTCACCAAGGCTGCATTTATTTAATCAAAAATACAGTACAAATTGTAAAATTGTAAAATGTTATTGCACTGTAAAATAACTGTTCAAAAGTAGTTTGTCATTTAATTTAATAATTTATTCCAGTGATTTTAAAGATGAATTTTCAGCTTCATGACTCCAGTCTTCAGAGTCACATGCTCCTTCAGAAATCACTTTAATAATAATAATAATAATCATAATAATAATAATAATAATAATAATAATTATTATTATTATTATTATTATTATTATTAATGGTAATAGTAATAAAGGCAATAATGACAGGAGTAATAATTTCATTTGAAACTACACACAATAAGAATGCAGGTATTTAAAATTAAAATTTTATTTAATTTAATTTTAAGGTATTTTAATTTTAAGTATTTAACAATTTAATTTTTTTTACATTTAATAAACGGTGCCTTGATGAACAATATATATATATATATATATATATATATATATATATATATATATATATATATATAACAAAGTGTACATATTTACATTGTATTGTAATTATATTGTAGATATACTATGTATGATGAAATTGATATGTCTTATTTAAATAATTTAATTATTTAAAATATATAATTATTAATAATAATACTACTACTAGTAGTAACAGTACTAATGATAATAATCATCATAAAGAATATGGTGAATGTGGTGATGATGATGATGATGATAATGACAGTAATAATTTAAAATATTATTATTACGATTATAATTTTGTTTCCATAACATTCCAGTCATTCAAAATTAATAGATATAAATAAATATATACATATTTTATAACATAAAAGTAGTGAATAGTAAATATTTTTTATATTATATTATATTATATTATATTATATTATATTATATTATATTATATTATATTATATTATATTATATTATATTATATGTACACACGCTACTCCAAATAAATGAATGAACGAACAAATTAATTAACAATTTTATAGAACATATAAAATATATATTATACATATACTACTTATAGTTTATATATATATATATATATATATATATATATATATATATATATATATATATATATAATTCCCGACAAACAAACTGTATTTGTATTGTCACAGTTTTACAGTCTAACTAAGGAGGAAAAAATATTTACTGTAGAAATTGTTAGGATATTCATATAAATATTGAATTAATTTCCATGACTTTCCCAGGTTTGCAAACTCTTTTTTTAATCTGACATTTTCGTGGTATTTTATAACCACAGACACTTTATAAATAGAGTTTCATTCATGTTTCTTGTTTACGTTTTTAACTTCTAGGGTTCATGATGCCTCCTCTACAAACTACAACAATTCAGTACATTAACTCACTTTCCCAGGAGATTTTCCCTTGGTATCCGAACATTATCAAAAATCAAAATGCCATTATCAACTCCATGCAGCCCTGTGTAAAACACACACATACAGATTAGAAAAGTCAAAGGTTATACAAAGCAAGGCTATATTGCAAAATAATGTTACTGTATTGCAGTACCTTCCTTGTGCTTCATATCAGAGACGGTCACTCCAGGCCACATGACTCCGTTCTCATCGCGGATTGGTACAACAAAGCAATGAGGACCTGAGAGAGACAACTTATCAATAAATTGCATAATCTGAGGCATCATTTATAAAGCGTAAATTAAACAAACATTATAATACATCATACTTGTATTGTTAAAGATGCAATAGATGCAATTTCACAATTGATGACACCTCAAAAACCTCCACCACACCTATTAAACATTGCAAAATTCCAGAAGATATAACTAAATAAAAAATAAATTGTTATAATGATGTAAAGTAGTGGTTCTCAACTGGTCTGACCATGGGACCCACATTTTTACATGGTCATCAACCATGACCCCCAAATTTTTAGGAACTATGATTTTAGGAATTATAATAATTTGTATTTATTTGTTAACATACACAAGTAGTGACAGATAAATCATAAGAAAATCACCAAGACTTCCAAATAAACAATATTTTATTATTGTCATTTAACATAATGGGCCCTATCATACACCCGGCGCAGTGTGGCGCAAGGCGCGGCGCAATAGTCTTTTGGTAGTTTCAGCTTGGCGCAAGAGTCGTTTTGAGGCGTTGCGCTACGCTGTTTAAATAGCAAATGCATTAGCGCTCATTTGTGCGCCCATAGGCGTTCTGGTCTAAAAAGAAAGGCGTTCTGAGGCGGACTGCTGGCGCATCGCTATTTTGAGAAACTATAATAGATTTTTCATTAGACCAAAACTAACACGGTCTAAACTCCGGCGCAGAGTTGCGCCTCGCTTACACACTGCTTAATACACACAAGAGAGCAATAGGCAAATATCTTTACATATGAAAAAAATTTAATATTAAGGATATATATATAGGATATAATGAGAATAGATATAGGATATAAATATAAAGGATTAAAATATTACAAAACATATTATTCTCTAGCCTACATAAATATGAAAAATCGCTGCTTTTATGTCTTCTTCATCTCGGGAGGCTTTTTCAGTTCATTCATAACAATTTGCTTTTGTATAATGTTATTATTATTAGCAGTATTATTTATTATATCCATATTTATATTTGTTTTATTAAAAACAAGCTTAGATTTGCCCACCTGTCAGGTTTTAGACCATATGGGGCACAGCATGTGTTTTAGGATATAACTCAGGTTTTTGAGCACATTTTGTTATTATTGTTCATTTATTTGTTTGCTGGAAATTAGAACTGAATTTAGAAACAGTTTTAAAACGAATATTTGTGCTTAACAAACAAAATTTATTATTTATAGACTAACTGATGTCTGTGTGTAAAGGTTTCCCTATCCAAGAGCGAAAGTGAAAGTAGATCCATTATCTCTCATTCTCACGCAGTAGATGCTCTGTTTTACAGTTTTCTGTTACTGTTTGCTTGTGAAATGCTAATTTTTTCCACTTAGACTTACTTTGCATCCTGTAAATAGCGAATGCGCTCTTGGCGCGACGCAGCTGGCTCTTAAAGGTAATGGGAGATGAGACTCTGATTGGTTTATTCTCAAAACACACCTATAACTCATTAAGAAAATAAACTCAACCCTTTTAGACCATGAGCCATGACGCAAAGCAGGTTTTCCCGTCCTTAAATTAGCAAAAACGCGTCCTGACACGCCCTGAAATCGTTTGCGCCCTGCGTTTTGCGCTCTGCGCATGGACCATCAAATTAGAGCCCAATGTCTCAAATTATAGAAATATTACAAAGTAAAAACGGCAAATGTTTGGTTTCTAAAAGCGCTCTTGTGAGCGCACATCACTTCATATGACACACTGAGGTTTTAAGCCTTTTTTGTCATCAATATATGTAACTCCATACTTTACATGTTCGGGGTCGTACTTGCGCTTCGACGTATTTGTTGCTTTAATTAAATGAAATTTCACATGTCAAACGGTACAGTTGTCGCTCATGCATTTTAAAATAAAAGTCTTGTATAAGCAAAATAAGTTAAAAATTAAGTTGTTTTTTTTACCACACACTCTGCGACCCACTGAAAATGTTCCCGCAACCCACCAGTTGAGAAACACTAATGTAAAGGGTCTTAGTCAAAGAATTTTCATCAGTCTTACCCTGAGATTCTCCATTAATAATGAGCTGAGCAAATACAGCAGCAAAGTTTCCTTTCATTGCGTTCCCGATATACATTTTGTGAGCGTCTTCGGAAGGTGTGTGGATAATAAACTCCTGCAAAACAATGATCAGAATCATTCAACATTTCAACAAAGTGTCTGTTTTACAGTAATCCAAGTATGTGTGGATTCATGCAGGTTACGTACATTTTTTACTTCTAATGAAAAAAATTTATTATATTATGAAATATGAATATGTTATGAAATTCATTCATTTATTCATTTTCTTGATGGCTTAGTCCCTTTATTAATCTGGGGTCGCCACAGCGGAATGAACCGCCAACTTATCCAGCAAGTTTTTACGCAGCGGATGCTCTTCCAGCCGTAACCCAGTACTGGGAAAATGTTATGAAATATGAAAATCAAATATATTAACATTTATAAAACTTTGCCACTATTTCCCCTTATTGGAGTTTATATAAAAATATATTTGTGTCATTCAGTTTAAGCCAATTTTTTTAGCTAGGTATTAGAATGTGTCCTATTTAACAACAAAATGAAGCAAAATATATTGACTTGTTTATAATGACTATAATTAATGAATTTAATGTATATACATTTTTTCAGGGGCTGCACGGTGGCACAGTGGGTAGCACAATCACCTCATAGCAAGAAGGTCGCTGGTTCAAAAGCTGACTCAACTTAAAATTTTAAGGCAACAAACTTCAGGACAATTTTGACCACTCTAAAATGTCCTGAGGTTTGTTGCTTTAAAATTTTTAAAACAATTTTTTAATTGTTTTTTTTAAAACAAAAAAACAATTTTTGTGTGATCACTTTTTTATATAATGTAATATGTAGAGGTCAGAAAAAGAATTAGTATATTGTGTAATTTTTATAATTCATTCGTTCATTTTCTTTTCGGCTTAGTCCATTTATTAATCCGGGGTCGCCACAGCGGAATGAACCGCCAACTTATCCAGCACGTTTTTACGCAGTGGATGCCCTTCCAGCCGCAACCCATCTCTGGAAAACATCCACACACACTCATTCACACACACACTACAGACAATTTAGCCTACCAAATTTACCTGTACCGCATGGGGGAAACCAGAGCACCCGGAGGAAACCCACGCGAACGTGAGGAGAACATGCAAACTCCACATAGAAACGCAGAGGCTTGAACCAGCGACCTTCTTGCTGTGAGGCGACAGCACTATCTACTGCGCCACTGCACGCCGACTAATTTTTATGATATATATTTAATTTAAAGCACGTTCGCCTCACAGCAAGAAGGTCGCTGGGTTGGCGTTTCTGTGTGGAGTTTGCATGTTCTTCCTGCGTTTGCGTCGGTTTCCTTCGGGTGCTTCGGTTTCCCCCACAGTCCAAAGACATGCGGTACAGGTGAATTGGGTAGGCTAAATTGTCCGTAGTGTATGTGTGGATGTTTCCCAGAGATGGGTTGCGGCTGAAAGGGCATCCGCTGCGTAAAAACTTGCTGGATAAGTTGGCGGTTCATTCCACTGTGGCGACCCCAGATTAATAAAGGGACTAAGTCGACAAGAAAATGAGTGAATGAATGAATATTTAATTTAAATTATGTGTTCTTATCAAATTTACATTAAATTAAAATATGCTCAGAAATTAAATGTTTTCTATGCATTTTTTTTTTATTTCTGCTAACATCTATTTTAATAACAAAAGAAGCAAATGAATAGTTCAGATGAAAAACCTCTAAAAGCCGTCTGAAATATTCTCCTAAAATGAGCCTTTTTCCCAGCCTTCTATTTTTGTTCAAGTATTTCACTTTAAAGCCAATGAAAAAAAAAACTTATTTATCACTTTAAAAGTAAAATTTCTAAGCCTACACACAAGAGTCACAGAAAAATGCTAGTTTTAGAAGAAAATATCAAACGGCATTTGGAGGTTTTTACATCTAAACAAATATATTTGTGTTTTTATGATTGTAGTCCACTGTAACCCTGATTGCAATCTACTTTTATGATTGTAGTTCACTCTAACCCCGATGGCAATCACAGCTGCTCTCCTATAGTCACACATATAGTAAGAAGACTTTGGATGTACCTGTGTGGGCTGATCATATCGGGCCTCGGTGATAATGCCTCGAACGTTGCTGCCGTGACCTCTCTCAGTCATAGCAAACATCCCCGTGAACTGTAACTCCTGCAATTAAACGCAGCCAAAAAGACGTTGCATTGGCACTAAATCAATATCTGCACTGAAAGAAATGTTGGGTTGCACACAATCTAATTGTTTTGGGACAACATAAAGGGATTAAGTTGACTTATTAGTTTAAACAAATTGAAGTGGATTGAACATAAAATAATGAAGTTGTCACCATTCTGTTGTTTCAGCTCATTTAAATAAGTAGCTTAAACAAATTGCAAACATACATTTTTGAGTGTGCAGCTAAATAAACAACACATGTGCAAACTCAAAAAACTGTGCAGGACTTTGACTGGCAAACATGTGCGGTGTATAAAGTCTGGAGTGCACAGAACTTATCCATGACTTACTGAAACAGGGAGATAAAACTTGATCTTCTGCTCTGGACTGCCCAGATTATTGACAGCACCTCCGTACAGTCCACACACAACACCGAGCTGAGGGAGACACACAGCACTGAAGTAATGCTCCACCGTCATGTGGAATAAATGCAAATAAATATGTGGCATCATGCATGCTAACAATGCAAATGAGCCTGAGAAACAGCTCCAAATCTAAACAACAGCAGGAAATACTAGAAATGCTGCTGGTTTTAATGAGAAGCAAACTTGGCAAACCTTGACCCCCGTGTTCATGTCGGCAGCGCAGACGACTTCTGTGATGCTCATACTCTTGTTTATGAAGCCTTTTTGCTTCTCCTTTAGCTAAACAAAAGACAAGTTGCTTTAAAATGTGTATTGCATTAACCAAAATACTGCATACATGTGCTTTTATGAACACCGTATTGTGTGTAAATACACATTTTTACAGTATGCAATGCTAATACGACACTATTTGGTTTACTTGCATGATGTATCATCCTTTAAAATGCTCATGCTAGTTCAGTGCATTACCTTGATTTCACAATTTTGATCTTAAATATCTACAGAATTAGTACAGTCAATGCTGAGATTAGCATTAACTTAAAAATTAAATGCAATTGAACATTTTTACAGTACTATATGTGTACTTGACATGTGCTTACCAAAGAAAACACTAGATTATATATGGTAAATACATAGGTTTGAGGATAGTATAAGGGAAGTAGCTAGTTATTACTATGATAAGTACATAATATGTACATGAGAGACCATAAATTATGTAGAAATATTGACTATTGTTATAGTATGGAGGTCTCAAACTGGATTCCTGGAGGGCCGCAGCTCTGCACAGTTTTGCTCTAACAATAATCAAACACACCTGATCCAACTAATAAATGTATTCAAGACTACTAAGACTATTAAGCCGGTGTGAGTTGGAGCGGGTTGGAGCTAAACTATGCAAAGCTGTGGCCCTCCAGGAATTGAGTTTGAAACCACTGTTATTGTAGTTTATGCTAACTTGCGTAAATAACTCATGGTAACAAATAAAACCTTATATGTATCATGTTAAAACCAAAATGGTTAAAATAACAAAGTTAAGCCTTGACATACAATGCAAAATTAGCTTTAGTGCTATGCTAATAAATAAAAGCATTACTGTTTTTACCATATGGCATCATAACATTACCATTGTAAATCCAAAGGATAATATAGTATAACGGAGACATGTAAAAGACATTATCTGTCCATAAATTATGTAAAAGTATTGTTTATTGTTATAGTAGTTCATGCTAACTTGCGTAATTACTCATGGTAACAAATAAAACATACAAAGGTTAAAGGGTAGTATAAGGGAGGTAGCTAGTTATTACTCTGATAAGTACATAATATGTACATGAGAGATTATAAATGATGTAGAAATATTGACTATTGTTATAGTAGTTCATGCTAACATGCATAATTAGCCAATGGTAACAAATAAAATCGTATATGTATCATGTTAAAATCAAAATGAGTACCTCACAAAGTTAAGCCTTGACGTACAATGCAAAATTAACTAGTGCTATGCTAATAAACAAAAGTACTACTATTTTTACTATATGGCACCATAAATTTACCCTAGTAAATGCATAGTAGTATTTGAATGTGTAATGGAGACATGTAAAGGACATTATCTGTCTTGTGTACCTGGTTTTTAAGATGTTCTTTCATGACTGGCATTAACGAAATTAATAAATACAACTGAACCTTTTTTTACAGTACCATAAGTGTATTTAACATGTACTAACCAAAGAAAACACTGGATTATATATGGTGAATACATACGTTTAAGGGTAGTATAAGGGAAGTAGCTAGTTATTACTATGATAAGTACATAATATGTTCATGAGAGACCATAAATTATGTAGAAATATTGACTATTGTTATAGTATGTAGGTCTCAAACTGAATTCCTGGAGGGCCGCAGCTCTGCACAGTTTTGCTCTAACCCTAATCAAACACACCTGATCCAACTAATAAATGTATTCAAGACTACTAGAGACTATTAAGCCGGTGTGAGTTGGAGCGGGTTGGAGCTAAACTATGCAGAGCTGTGGCCCTCCAGGAATTGAGTTTGAAACCACTGTTATTGTAGTTTATGCTAACTTGCGTAAATAACTCATGGTAACAAATAAAACCTTATATGTATCATGTTAAAACCAAAAATGATTAAACTAACAAAGTTAAGCCTTGACATACAATGCAAAATTAGCTTTGGTGCTATGCTAATAAATAAAAGCATTACTGTTTTTACCATATGGCATCATAACATTACCATTGTAAATCCAAAGGATAATATAGTATAACGGAGACATGTAAAAGACATTATCTGTCCATAAATTATGTAAAAGTATTGTTTATTGTTATAGTAGTTCATGCTAACTTGCGTAATTATTCATGGTAACAAATAAAACATACAAAGGTTAAAGGGTAGTATAAGGGAGGTAGCTAGTTATTACTCTGATAAGTACATAATAATATGTACATGAGAGATTATAAATGATGTAGAAATATTGATTATTGTTATAGTAGTTCATGCTAACATGCGTAATTAGCCAATGGTAACAAATAAAATCGTATTTGTATCATGTTAAAATCAAAATGAGTACCTCACAAAGTTAAGCCTTGACGTACAATGCAAAATTAACTAGTGCTATGCTAATAAACAAAAGTACTACTATTTTTACCATATGGCACCATAAATTTACCATAGTAAATGTATAGTAGTTTTTGAATGTGTAATGGAGACATGTAAAGGACATTATCTGTCTTGTGTACCTGGTTTTTAAGATGTTCTTTCATGACTGGCATTAACGAAATTAATAAATACAACTGAACCTTTTTTACAGTACCATATGTGTATTTAACATGTACCAACCAAAGAAAACACTGGATTATAAATTGTAAATACATACGTTTAAGGGTAGTATAGGAGAAGTAGCTAGTTATTACTATGATAAGTACATAATATGTATATGAGAGACCATAAATGGTGTGGAAATATTGTTTATTGTTATAGTAGTTCATGCTAACTTGCGTAATTAGCCAATGGTAAAATCGTATATGTATCATGTTAAAACCAAAATGAATAACTAACAAAGTTAAGCCTTGATGTACGATGCAAAATTAACTTTAGTGCTATGCTAATAAACAACAGTACTACTACTTTTATTACCATATGGCATCATAACTTTACCATAGTAAATCCATAGAGGTTTTTGAATGTGTAATGGAGACATGTAAAAGACATTTTCTGTCCATAAATTATGTAAAAGTATTGTTTATTGTTATACTAGTTCATGCTAACTTGCGTAATTAACCTATGGTAACAAATAAAACCTTTTATGTATCATGTTGAAACCAAAATGTAATAACTTGCAAAGTTTAGCCTTTTATCTTTAGAGCTATGCTAATAAATAAAAGCACTAACATTACGGTTTTTACGATATGGCACCATAACTTAACCATAGTAGTTTGTGAATGTGTAATAGAGACATGTAGAGGACATTATCTGTCGTGTGTACCTGGTTTTTAAGATGTTCCTTCATGACTGGCTGTCTTAAGATGTGATAGAGTCTGTCTGCAGTCAGATCTCTGTTCTGATCCAGAGTCCGTTCATAACTGCACGAGAAGAAAACAACGAGCTCTTGTTAATTCAAATAAATTGATATTTCAAAGCTATTATAAACCTTCTCCAGAAAGTGAAAAGCCTCCATCTGGAGTCTGGGAAAGCAAGTGAGGGTATATTTCATTCAAGTTCACTCATTTAAAGAAACGGTTTACCCACCAGCTGGACTGAAACAGATCACTCTTTGAAATCGCGTCGCGAAAAGCATCTTTAATCTCCCAGAACTCCCCATCTAGATATCTGGCGAGGCTGCTGGATGGCATTTGGTCTATGGATGATAACAACATGGCTTGAGTTCCTGGTGATTTCACTTTAACTGTACGGTATGACTCTGTTAGATTTCACTTCCGCGTATGGCTGATGTCACCGCGTTGCGCGGCAACACCGGCCAATGCACTTAATGGATAACTTGCAGAAAGAAACCACTGATGTATCCAGTGGTTAAAATAAATATAGCAGTTTTTAATGATTAAAAAATTATTTTCATGACAGTAAAATAGATGAGGCAGATGATGAGTTGCTAGGTTTACATCGTACAGTTACAAATAAGTATTTTACTACATTACAAAAATATGGAGCACCAAACTACACTGTTAGACATTTCTGTAAATTACACAGTTATTTACTGTATTTCACCCAGTGTAATACTGCAAATTCCTTTTACGGTAAATAACTGTATTTACCGTTGCATTATGGGAATTTAGTGTGACGTCGAACAACATATACAGCGATGTACTGTATTTGTAAAAATTCGTGTATTATACTGTATTTTCCACAACTGCTTCAACGCCACCTTGCGGCGATTCGACTACTCTGCACCACATTTTGCCTGAGGACCCTGGAGCAATTCTGGAGGACAATTTATTAGTGTGCCAAAAAAAAATAAATAAATAAAAAATTATTAGTGTGCCTGAAGAACATACTGGATTTAACAAACTTTACTCTGGTAAGCTGAGGCAGTGTTTCATTTTACAGAATGTTTTGTGGACGAGAATAGAACAAAGTACCCAGACAGCACACATACGTTGGGCCGACGTCGGCCGAAGGTCAACACGTCGGCCCCTTTAATTCTAACATCGGTATATGGTCGGCCAAACATACGCATGATCGTTCGGTCGTGTGTTCTATTGTTCCAGCTCAACAAACGTCGGCTCTGCGTCGATTAACGACCAGAGGCCGACGAAGCACTTCATAAGCACTTGATCTCTCATGCCCATGAAAGAATCCGGCAATATTTACAAGTAAGTTTTTGCGTGCATAATAAATTAGACAAACGCGACATGCATCATGTGAACTGCGTCGGTCGGTCCAGCTTTAAATAGCCTACATTAATGCAGTAAAACTGACCAAAATGCCTACAACACATGATTTCAATTCATTAAAATATAAAAAGTTTTATTGTTATGCTTTAATAATGAAAACGTTGTTTTTTTCTGGTGTTAACTGCTGTTTGCTTTTTTATTGTGGCTTTTTCTAATACATTTTTCCCAGTGTAAAAATCAAGTATGTTCTGCATTTCGGCTGTTTAATTAAAATAAACACCTTTTTACAGAGTGACATCTTTGTTTTATATATACTTGCATTTATATTTATTGGTTATTTATTTTTGACAGTGAATCTGATGCACAAATAAAGTGTTTGTTTTGTAACAGTTTAGTAGGCTATAAAGCTCGTCTTAAAGATAATAGCATATATAAAACTGCTAAATACATTTTAAATTCAAGATTTAAAATACAAGGTTATTATTTAAATTGTCTATGGAGTGATCATGTTTATAAATGTAATACTGCATGACTTTGATGTGCGCGCGCGCGTCTTGCTTCCAACACTGGAGCGGAGAGGATGTTGCTATGGGAAACGAAGCTACAACACGACACGACACCACCTAAAAGACACAACACGACTTCTCTCAAGCTGCCGTTTTGACTGTTTTCAGGTAAGTTTAGTCCCTAAAACAAAGCAAATACTACATAAAACTGTTCCTCACACTTTTATTATTGGCAATTGATGAATATTCAGTTGAATATTATGTTATATAAGAGTGGTAAGTCTTCGTAAAAGTCCGTTAGCATATTAGCACTGGTAACGTTAGCGTCGGGGTAATATTACGTTAACTTACTTAATGTTAGCTCTTGTTAAACTTGTTTGTTAAAGTTTTGGCTTTTATTTATTCTTTATGTGTAGATGAGAGGTTTTGTCAATGTTTTATTGAATGCACTCCATATGTAGTCTAAAATACGCATTGTACTGTAAAGGACCGTGAATCAAAAGTTCAATCGTGTTTTGATATTTCATGGTATCTTAAACAAATGTTAAGTAAAAAAGTGTTCTGTGGTTTCAGGAGTGAGAGAATAACCCACTGCTACAGAAAATATAACACACGATTCCTAAATTTCTGAAGGGAGCTGATCACAGAGATACAGGAAAGAAAGGTAACTTTAAGCAGAGGATTAATTCATATGAATTTCCATTGCACATCATTATGCACATGTTACATGTCTATATATTATGCATCTGTTACTTGTCTTTATTGCAGTTGTTTTAAGAAAGTTTTGACATTGAAACATGTGAGTGGTATTAAATTTCACATCACATGATTCTTCAGAACTTAGTAAATATATAGATTTGCTGCTAATGAAGTAATATTTGTGATTTTCATTTTGTTTAATTTTTTATGATTAATTGATTTATTAAATCTTAGAAAAAAGTTTACACTAAATTATTTGTCATCACATCTGTTTTTAGCATTGATAGCAATTCGAAATGTTTCTTGAGCAGCAAATCAGCACCATTTGATAATCACCATTATATTAGTTCAACCTCAAGCACTAAATCAACATCTTAAAAAAAGATTTCTGAAAGATCAACTGACACTGAAGACTTGAGTAATGATGCTGAAAATTTAGCTTTACATCATAGCTATGAATTACATGTATATTTACACTGTTCACCCATCCCTTACACCTTAACTCATCCTCAAACAAGTCAATTTAAGCCCTAAATGAATACATTTTGATTTGTACAGGCATGATATGCAACTTGTATTCAGTCGTTTTGTTTTTTCTTTCTTTTGCTTTTGTTTTCCACATCCACTGAAAAGGAGGTCAAAGTTTAACCTAAGTGCTGTGTAGCTGATGAACATCTTTATATGTAAGTATATTTTTTACTGACTGCCAGACACTTGTCAAACAGTGATGAGCAAACGAGGGGCCGTTCTTTTCAAAAAGATCAGGGAGATGCAAGTCTGGAGATTAATATACATTTTAATTCAAAATTGATTTATCTGGAAATATTTCATAATTTGTTGAGATATGTGCCCTTTATGCATTTAGATGTCCATCCATGTTTAAAATACTTTTAAATTTAACAACGGCTGCAAGTTATAAAAACATAAACAAACACAAAAATGTTAAAGTAAATTGAGAAAACATTTTCATCAGTTTGACAACATACACAATCTCACAAATAGCATAGAAAAAAGTGACAAAGCTGTCTTCTTTGTCTGTGTTTTATTACTCTCTTTGCACTCTCGGCCACTGTATGCAACAGTGATTAGTATAATGTAACAGTAGACAGATGAGGAATGTGAATATGTAGTTTAACTTTAAGGAGCGTTACTACTGGAACCATTTTTTTGTACAAATATATATGTGTGTGTGTGTGTGTGTGTGTGTGTGTGTGTGTGTGTGTGTGTATTGATTTACCTGTTAAAAAAATTAAGCAAAAAATTAATTATAAGGTAGATCAGCTCCTGACAGACATGTTAACAGATCAGTTTAACTCTTATTAAATTCATTCATTCATTTTCTTTTCTGCTTAGTCCCTTCATTAATCTGGGGTAACCACAGCGGAATGAACTGTCAACTTATCCAGCATATGTTTTACGCAGTGGATGCCCTTACAGCTGCAACCCATCACTGGGTAACAACCATATACGCTTATTCTCACTCATACACTACAGACAATTTAGCCTACCCAATTCACCTGTACCCCATGTCTTTGGACTTGTAGGCAAAACTGGAGCACCCAGAGAAAACCCACGCAAACGCAGGGAGAATTTGCAAACTCCACACAGAAATGCCAGCTGATCCAGCCGAGGCTCGAGTCAGCATCCTTGCTGTAAGGCGACAGCACTACCTATTGTGCCACCACGTCACGCTCTTATTAAATTATATTTATATAATGTTGTTTCAGTACATACTATTTTGGGAAGACAAAATATATTCATAAGCTCTCAGAAAATTCAATAAGAGAATTAACTGCACAATTACTTGAAATGCATGGATGGGATTACATTATTTGTTAACCCAAAGTGAGTTTCTCTTTCTTTGCAGTATTGGATGCCTGATTGCAGTTCAACTCCAAACTCAGTTGGACCAGCTGATCAGTGTCTTCAGTATTACCACAAGCTACTGGGCAGATGTGTGGACAGCTATGAGCCAAACTTGGGACGTTTGGTTTTTAGGTAATACCAGTGACAAAGTATTCAGTAAATTGCTTATAATAAAAGATGCTCACTGCTTACCCCCTTATAGTTAAGTTGTTTGCAGTTTCATTGTTGTAAAAATACCATACTTTTTCCTTTTTTTATCAGCAGGTGGAGAGACCGTCTGGGCAGCAGAAACAAGACAACTAATCATAGTTGAGTTGAGATTAGTATTATTAACTTGACTAGTTTGGTTGCAGACTTGTTCAATACTTAACAATTTGTACAATGTTTTTGTAACTTAAATTCATTACAGTTTAGATACAATCAAATGTCCAAACCATCTCTGAGTGAATGACATCAAGGAAACAGGATCAAAAGATCATTAATTATAGACCGTTTCATAGGTAACAGCACATCCTTTGTGAAAAATAATTTATTTTTGTGTCATCATCACAAGACCAAATACATTTCAACTGATTTCAGTTGGTTATATTTTTCAGGTCCTCCTGATCATTCTGTTCTCCTGGTTGTGAGGATGTGCAGAGGCTGTATTTGTCAGTGTTAAAAGACTTGTGCAGCTGTATCCAGACATACAAGCAGCCGACAAAGAGTTCTGGAGCAGGACAGACAGGTAGTTCACAGTGGCTAGGCTAGAAGTTTATACTTGGGTGGCCAGAAAGTGGCCTCCGCTGTTTTGGGGGGTCCATACAAATACACCAGTGTAAGCTATACTATTACACTGAAAAAATTAAATGAAAGAATTAATTAATCGGTTGAACACAAAATATTTTAAAGAAAGCTTAAGTATCAAGGTGGCAATATACAGTATGTTACATTGTAGTACATGAGCTGGCTAATACAGATTCGTAAATGTTTAGTTGTTAAGATTAGTTAAATACTAAATCCTATACTTGAGACCGGCTGCATATACAGCTTTAACTGAACTAAATTTAACTAGAACTACACCAGCATTCCAAGTGCTCTAGACTAGCTTTTTGCACTGGTGCATCTAAAATGTTTGATGGCATTGCATTTAACACTGCAATTTTACATGTTAATTTTTTTTTAAATTACAATCCATATAGGCAATATTGACTTGTAAATGATTGAAATGAACTAAATAAACAAATGAACTAAAATCGGGTCAACACACATTATGGCGATTGTGTGTAGAATTTTGAGGAAATTAATGAATTTAATCCATTTTGAAATAAGACTGAAACATTAAAAATGTGGAAAAAGTGAAGCGCTATTAATACTTTCCGGATGCATTGTATATGGTTTTTAGCGCGTTATCAAAGACTTAAAAAAATAGTCCAACATTATCTACAGCAGCAAAAGACCCTCCACATCAAAAGCTACTGGTCAGCTCACGATTCAGCAAACATCTGAAAAACAAATAGCTTATTATGCCTTCACAAGAAATCAGTGTTTTAATGAAGAGTCTAATGAAGATAGTACTATTTTATTAAATTATTATTTAGCCTGGCATGTTTACTGTTACAAAATATTTTAAATGTTTCTTAAAATAAAACATATTGTGTTCAATGGGGACAAAGTAGCTGTTTTTTACACAAAGATAAAAAAAAAAAAAACATTTCAGAGCAGTAATCACAATACTGTGAAACTGTGATATTTTTATATTATCTTATACCTGCCCATTCCTAGCCAGTTACTTAAAGCATTCAGTCAGAGTTTTTTTATTTTTTATTTTTTCAGTTGGCCTATATTCTGTTTTTCTATGTTCTTGGAAATGCTGCTGTGCATGAAAATGTGACGATATATCCAGGTTCTATAGTTAATTCTGAAATAAATCTTAAAATGAAACAATATTTAAAAATGCAATATTTAATGTGTCAGACACTAAATAAACAAGTCAATTCATTTATATTAATCTGATTCCTTAACAGGGCAGCACGGTGGCGCAGAGGGTAGCACGTTTGCCTCACAGCAAGAAGGTCGCTGCTTCGAGCTTCGGCTGGGGCAGTTGGCGTTTCTGTGTGAAGTTTGCATGCTCTCCCTGTGTTGGCGTGGGTTTCCTCCGGGTGCTCCGGTTTTCCCAAGTCCAAAGACATAGGTGAATTGGGTATGCTAAAATTGACCATAGTGTATAAGTGTGTGTGAATGAGTGTGTATTGGTTGCAGCTGGAAGTGCATCCGCTGCGTAAAACATATGCTGGATAAGTTGGCCTCATTCCGCTGTGGTGACCCAAGATAATAAAGGGACTAAGCCCAAAAGAAAATGAATGAATGAATCCTTAACAGTTAATATTGGTATAATGAGCAGCAGTTGTCATTCATGTAAATTAACCATATAAGCGTGCTTAGTTTGGGGTATGTTGTGCCATTAAATTGTCAATAGGTTTTTTTTTTCTACATTTTAAATCTGCTTTAGCTTTCTTCTTTAACAAATTGCTCATTTTATTCTTAGATTGGTGTACGCTGATGGTCTGCTGAGAATTCTGCTCTCCAAAGTACAATAGGACTAGTAAGTAACATCTTAAACATACACTACTGTTTCATAGCTTTTAGGTTGGTATGGTAAATTCTCTTCTGATAATGTCAGCTTTATTTAATTAATACAGTCAAGCAGTAATACTGTGAATTTAATACAATGCATATAATTAATAGTGTCACATGATCCTTCTGAAAAAATAGTATTCCAATGTACTGATTCTCTCCTCAAGCTGTTTTTTTATATAAAACATTTTAAATAAACATATTTTTAGTATTCTTGATGTATGAAAAGTTTATTTTTAAGAGCATAGTATTCATTTGTAAAAAATAAAAAAAGTTTGCTCTTTGATGATTGCTAACAATCAGACATGTTTCTTTAGAACAAAAAGAATTTGTGCAAAAAAGTATTCTCACTGAGCGTTGTCCAACTGTGGTCCAACACGTCATTTAAGTTTTCAAATAAGCCTAAAAGACTTGATTAGCTGCATCAGGTGCATTTAATTAGAGAGTTGAATATATGATTTCTTTATATATCCTCCTCTATAGCCTACATATAATAGAAGTTGTTTGCTGAAAAACCTTTTTTGTAGCAGAAATAAAGCTATGATTAGGCTCACCCGGATTTTTTGCAGAACTCCGCAGATGTTTAGCCTATCATTAGTTCTGTTTATTTACTTGAGTAAATGTGTGTAAATCTATATTTATTCAGTTTTTTTATTAATTTCAGTAATATTATTGACTAATGTGAAAATGTTCATCTGATTTATGTACAATGAGGTTTGTACAGTAATATTTTCTGTCTTACTAGATATGTTATATGAAAAACTTGCTTTATTTACCAAATAAAGTTAATCTAATTGGATTTGTATTTTAAACATTAAATAAAACTTTAAAATATATTATTTTTTATTTCATATATTAGGATTTTAGTTATGATACTTCCAAAATAATTCCGCAGAAATACGCAGACTTCCATCATAATTTTCAGCAGAAATAGCAAAAAACATCCGCAGATTCCTCCTGGCCCTAGCTATGATATATTAAATGTGGTGTACAGTGTGACATTTTAGTTGACGAAACTTAGTTTAATTTGCATGTAATGTGGTATCTGAAGATTAGACATATATTTAGATACACATTTATACTAACACAATGATACTAAAAACCCCAAAAAAACATTCATTATGATTTCACAAGGAATTTAACTTTCAAATGGCTTTTCTGAAAATTAGTGCTCAGACACTGTCTTTAAGTTTAAATTAAATTACACATTTTAGCTAGGCACTTGCATAACACATACTCCAGTTATATGTCATGAAACAAATAATATATAATTGTGGTAATATGAACTGTTGCAATGCTAATCTTTCTCCTTTTGGTTTCTTGCTTTATTTAAGGGTTCCCACTACAAGGATTAGATTTGGCTACTGCAGTCCTGGTTTGGGCCAGCCTCACTTGTGAAGATTAAAGATGAAGACAACATACAAGAACAATTTAGAGGATGGCGACACACTTTTTATTCCACCTATATATCCCCTTTTATGTGTAAGCAACATTCCACAAGATAAAACAAAACTAAATGACTGGTTATTTCTTTTAATTTTGTCTGTTTTCTTGGAACATTGTGCACAATTTACAACCAGTTTCATTATTATTATTATTATATATATATATATATATATATATATATATATATATATATATATATATATATAGGTCAGAGCAAGAAAATGTTATGTTTTCTTCTGGAGAAAGTCTTATTTCTTTTATTTATATTTTAGTTTTGAATTTCCAAAAAAACATTTTAAGGTCAATATTATTAGCCCCTTTAAGCAATTTTTTTCGACTGTCTACAGAACAAACCATCGATATACAATAACTTGCTTGTTAAGCCTCTAAATGTCACTTTAAGCTGTATAGAAGTGTCTTGAAGAATATCTAGTCAAATATTATTTACTCAGTTATTAGAAATGAGTTATTAAAACTATTGTGATTAGAAATGTGTTAAAAAATATTTCCGTTAAACAAAAATTAAGGGATTATATATATATATGTATGTGTATATATATATATATATATATATATATATATATATATATATATATATATATATATATATATAATCCCTTAATTTCTGTTTAACGGAAATATTTATAAATACATTATATATATATATATATATATATATATATATATATATAATGACAAAATCTGTTTTGTATATATATATATATATATATATATATATATATATATATAATGACAAAATCTGTTTTGTGCCGTGCATTAGAGTTTGCTTAAAAAAAAAACTGGTTATCTCTGAAAAAGTATTGTTATTTTATATTATTGATGTGTTATTAGTTCAGAGGAGATTGCAATTTGTTGAATGCCATTTATACAAAAAAAAAAATTTAAAATTGACTACAGACTTTAATAAGATTTTATCAGACAATTATTTTAATTTGTATGATTTTATTTACTACTGTAAATATTGTTTGCTTGGTATTTATGTTGGTGTTTGTGTACTCTTTTATTATTGTAACTCCCTGAAGAAAGTCTTTTGGATACTGAACACATGACTGGTATTATCTTGTATTTTAAAATTATAGTCTTGGAAACATGCATTTTCTTTAACACTATTTAAGAAATTATAAGCATTATAACATGTGCTTACACAAGTTATTTGTGTTTTTACTATAGTAAACTATAGTCTCCCTCAGTGTACATGTTTTGAAGTACTTGTAAATATTCCTATGGTCTTAATATAAATGTTGCAATGGACTTTGTATTTAAAATCTTTATTGCACAGTAGTTCAGCCATGGTTATAGTACAACTTGTTGGTTTTGTTTTAAACGTGGTAAAACATGGTTATGTGTGATAAAAGTAAGTTAATCTATATGTATGTTTGTGAAAATATTAATAAATCTTCAACTGTTATTGAGAGTGGTGTGTCGTGTTTATTATAAATAAGCAGCTGTTGCAGCTAGTGGTCCATAAGTATGAGCAAAACGCCTGAGAACAGCGCCTCCGCGGAGCGGCCGGTATTTCCGGTTGCGTCGTCCTAACATCGGCCGGACAGCGTTTCCGATCATTTGCCGACGTCGCGGCGACATTTTGCCAATTAGCAAACGCTCCCTGAGCGACATCGCACCGATGGAGTTTTGAAAATCGGCACGACGTCGGCCCAACGTATGTGTGCTGTCTGGGTAAAGTATAAAGTTGGCTATTATTATTTTCTCTGGCTTGGCGTTATTTCGCCCATTTGAGAAATATATCATCTATTAAGATGTTACCTTTATTTAATTTATTACATTAACACTACTATTACTTTAAATAAGACTGTTTATGACTATTAGCCATTGTTCTCGTCATATCTTTTTATTTATTTACATAGGAACCGGTGCAGCGGGTTTTGGTTTAGGAGGGAACCAGAGGTATGCAGACAGTTTTGGAGGACACTTAGCACGAGACAACGGTCCGGCAGAGAGTGTTTTCCCCCAGAAGAATATGAATGAAAGACCAACAAATAATCCAGGTAAAAGCGCGTCTGTCTGTGCTGACAACACTCGACATTGATTTGAGCACCTCTATTAGCATTTGTTTGCTCGGCAACATTGGCTGAAGCGATCTTAAAATGGTAATGTTAACTGTTAGCTAAACTGAGCTAAGTTTATACTGAATTGGACTCAAACTCATTTTAACGTGCAACGTTTAACTTATATTGATTTATACTATATATATTAGATGTTGTGAACTTATTTTTCTCTGGTTTAGAGTAACTTATAACGTTAGCTTGAGAAAATAACATCGCGACGTAACCTATAAGAACGTTAACGTAATCTATAACGTTACAATATGCATAGAGGTAAAGTTGGTTTTATATTCGCACATTCGTTCATTTAGAAGTCTCTATACTGTTTACCATGTTACTTTGAATATTCGATCAGAATTAGCATGCCAGTATGACTTGAAATCAACATTAACACTGTTTATTTGACCGTGAGCATGTTGTACTTTGATAGGCATTAGCTGCTAAAATGATTTCGCTATTTAGAGTTTGCAAATAATACTTTTATGAAATTAAATTATTAAGGGGGAAGTCTGAATCTGCTAATATAAAACCAATTTTACCTCTATGCATTATGCTAATAACCACCTTTTTGCTTTTTATTGTTTGCTAATTATTTTTTTATCACAACTCTTGACATTTGGTTTAACATAATTGTTACCATTATATTTTTTTCTGTTTAGATATGGCACTGACACAGCAGCAAGTTTTGTCTGAAGAAACAAACAGCATTTCAGAGGAACATCTTGATCAGCACAGCCTTATGCTTAAAAAATAAGCAAGACCAGTAAGCAACCAAGGTAAACAAATAAAAAAAAGTTGTGTGGAGGTTGTGGATTGTAGCATGGTATTCTTATCTGTATTTTTGGCTTTTTTATGGTCTCAATATAGAATACTGGGAGCCTGCCTGTGCAAACTGGACCTCATACAACAGTAAGTACTGTACATCTATTTGTTT